TTGCCTATTCCAGGGGCTGCTACTAATAACCTCATTTGTGTCTTTGAGAGATGGATAGCGTCTAATGAAGAAGTATCCTGGAGTAAAGTACTTCAAGTTTGTGATGAGTATCCAGAGGAATTTCGAAAGGCAAAAGCTGAAGTGAAGGGATTCATTGATCAGCCATCAGATGAAAGTAAAGAAGTATTGTTGTTGTTGTTGTTATTATTGTTATTTTTTATCATAACGTACATGTATGTGTATACTAATAATTATTATTTATAATTTATCACTTGTGTATAGGACCTGTTGATAGTAACAATGGAACACAAATAAAGCAAGTTAATGATCAGTCATCAAATGAAAGTAAGGAACTATTCATTATTATTATTAAATTTATTTTTATATTTATTTGTAGACATTTTGGACAAGGAGCCTAAATTAAAGGACCTCCATAGGCTTTTTGACAGTTCTGCTGCCCATTATTCAACTATTGGTACTGCACTTGATGTTGAAGTGGACAACTTATTGCATAGTCCATTGTCAGCCTCTGATAAGCTACGGACAGTATTCAAGAGATGGATAGAGTCCAATAAAGAAGTGACCTGGAGGAATGCTCTTCAAGTTTGTGAAGATTATCCTGATAAGTTTGAAAGAGTGAAGGCTGGCGTGGACAAATTTCTTGAATCAGATAGAGCTCGTAAAGAATATTTTAATCTTTGCTGATTGTATTGCATTGCCTTTGCCTGCTATTATTATTACTATACTTTTTGCATTTTAATCACACAAAGTAATTTTTAAAAGTATTTTGAAAGTACAATCCATTTTGGCATTTGCTGGAGAAGAGGCGTCACAGTTGAGTTGTTGCTAGGACGAAAATGGCTGCCAGTTGTGAGGGTGAAAGTTCTAAAGGTGTTGCAGTTCCTCCCGTTCAGCAGTAGCCTTGACCCGGGGTACTGGCAGGAGTTAGGGAAGAGGAAACTTGAAGAGTATCAGCTAAGAGAGGACCCGGTCCCTATCAGGGGCAGCAATGGGAACTACAGGAACATTAGCACTCCTTTCCTATCCCTGGATTATACTGCTTTTGATGTGGGATACCAGCCTACTGGACTAGACTTCCCTTCTCTTGGTCTCCTACGAAACATGAACACAATCGCCTCCTTCAACAACATTGACAAGAAGGAGTTACTTGATACCTGTGGTCGTCTCATTTTGGAGAGTATTAAAAATGGCAATTGCCTCAAAAACTCGTCACTCCTGATGTCATTCCTGTTATTCACGTACGCTGACTTAAAGAAATATCGTTTCAATTATTGGTTTGGATTCCCTGCCCTCTCCCCCTCCAGTCCATTCACTTATAGATCTATCAGTCGTTTGGATACTCTTTTTAAAGACTCCGACCTCCAGCACTTGGTGTCTTGTTACGATCACTTTCAATCGGAACACAAAAGTGTTGGGTTCTTCCTAGTCAACTGTTCCTAAAATAACTGGCTGGGAAAGAAACAAAGTAACTGACATGAATAATATTCATGTACATGTATCGGGGAATGTAAGAATAATGGAAAATTGTGTCCTTTTCAATTTTGGTGAAATTTGAGCAAAGTCCCTGTACTATAGTGCAGGGACTTTTGTCTGATTTTGGAGCAACAATTATTTTTTGTCCATTGTTTTTCAAAAAAAAAATAGCTCCAAATTCACCCCAATTTTTATCACATTTTCTGATACATATTAATGTCCTTATGCTGTGTAGAAAGTTTGAGCTGATTCCGACTTCAATTTTTTAAAGTTACGGCCACTTTAAGAAAATGTCGAAATTCTGAAAAATACCCAAGCCCATGGTTTTTTCCAAAAAATGGCTGCAAAATCACTAAATTTTTATCACATTTTCTGATGCATATTGATGTCCTTACGCTGTGTAGAAAGTTTGAACTGATTTTGACAAACATTTTTTTAGTTACGGCCATTTTAAGAAAATACCAAAATTCTGAAAAATACCTAAGGCTATAGCCCATGGTTTTTTCGAAAAAATGGCTCCGAAATCACTCCAATTTTTTATTACATTTTCTGATACATATTGATGTCCTTATGCTGTGTAGAAAGTTGGAGCTGATTCCAACAAATATTTTTCAAGTTACGACCATTTTTAAAAAAACCAAAATTCTGAAAAATACCTAAGGCTATAGCCCATGGTTTTTTCCAAAAAATGACTCTGAAATCATCCCAAATTTTGATTACATTTTAAAAATTTAAATTGATGTCCTTATGTTTTGTAGAAAGTTGTATGTACGTGTATATGTGATAGATTTGTTCAGCTACTTGTTATAGCAATAGCTATCCAAATTATTAATCGATAACAGAAAGACTATAATAATCAAAGACCCAAAAACAGTGGCCGCACTGAGCC